ATTCCAGCTGCTGTTGGCAACACGTTCTGCATGTGCAGTGCACACCTGAGAGTCGGAATGCTATAGTGTGTGTGTGTGTGTGTGTGTGTGTGTGTGTGTGTGTGTGTGTGTGTGTACATCCGTGTGTAGAGACTGCATGGGAGTGTTTGTGGTTTGTGTGTCTGGCTGTCAATACGATGCTTGCTTGTATCTGTAAGTTGTGGTCCAGGGTGTCTTAGGCTGTTCCACAAGGTGTCTAGGAAGGTGAGGGGAGGGAGCATTAGGGAAGAACTCTCTCTAAAACCTGGCCACTTCCTCCCTCTGCTCTGCCTTCCTTAGGCCCCCCTCACCCCACTTGAGCGAGAAGAGAGAATACGACCCTCCACACAGAGCTGACAGACGGCAGGCTTGTCCCCTTGCTTTAGTCAATGACAAAAGATATCGATGCTGGTGATCCCATAAGCTTACATTGCCCAGCTGTGTCATGGTTGTCTCGGTTTGGGTATACACATGGTGACTTTCAGATAATGGCAATACCAGCCAGCAGCATCATTCTCGGATTGAAAGCCACACGTGGCTCTAACTGTTCTTTCAGCGAATGCATGCTGTGTCATGAGACAATAGGAATGTTAACTGGGTCTCCTCCCACAGGACGCGTCCACAACACGGTCCCCTTGCTGCTCAACGTTCCCTGGACGACCTCACGGGGGCAGGGAGGAGAAGGGGGTCTGCCAGCGATGCAGGACCACTCCTAACCCAACTGACCAGACTCTCCTCCTGGACAGGGGCCCAGCAATCTATCCTGAAGGTCCTTAGGCTCCTGCCACTTTTGGTGCAGGTTGAGAAGAGGCAGGGAGGGACCAAGGAAAGTGGCTATGGACCAAGAGTGCTCCGGACTCCTAGGAGGATGGCTCCACCCTCTGCCACCCTTTTCAGAGCAGGGGTCTTTGAGCTGCCCCAAGGTGGGTGTCCCCTAGGTGCCAGGGAACCTGTTACTGGAAGCTCTGACCACTGGGAGACAAACAGGATTCACCAGGAGCTGGGCATCACGCCGAAGTTGGGAAGGCAGCTCCAGGGTACTATGGGAGGCACAGGGCATCCCCCGGGGATCCCAGCCCTGCCCCATCCCTCCCACAGAGGCAATTACAGCTGGGCTACACCCCTGCCCTGGTGCCCTGAGCTGACAGTGCCAGCTAACTCCCTAACTGGGCTGGACCAAGGCTGTGGCCTCCATTCCCATGGTCCCCTGCAGTGACCCACATGGAAGGAACCTCACAGTCATGGCACTGACCCAGCCCTAGACTGCTGCTGCGTCCCACAACCCAGGCCTCACTGCAGGACCCTCCCACCCACAGAGGACATTTCCCCTCCACACGAATACTCAGGGCTGCTCTTGCAGCTGTGCTGTGCTGCTGGCAGCCTCACTGCTCTGTGCCGCCACCTGCAACCCTCAGAGCTGCGCCAGGGCTCCTGGGGTGGCAGCCACATCCCCTGGGGCGGGCCTTGATGCACCTGCTGTGAGCTGGGAGAGGGGGCTTCTTGGGGTCACCCACCAGGCCCAGGGCCCAGACAGTGAAAGCCCGGCTCAGTCACTAAGGGCACAGCAGGCTTGACTCCCAAATGGTTAAATTGGGGCACAGGGAGCCATGCGTGGCTGGAAGGGGCCTAGCCATGGGTTCCCAGCAGCCCAGGCACACCATAAGCTGCGGTTTCACGCTTGACGGCTCGGCACAGAGTCAAGCTGCGGAGACGCTTCCAATCCTGTTCTGCCTTGCTTGCTAGCTCTTCTTACCCCCTCCTCCCTGGGGGCCCCTGAGAGCCTCCCCAGCCCTGCACCCCAGTCCCCACTGATGAGACTCCAAACCAGGAGCCACCTGTGTGGCAGCAGTGGTAATGGAGGGGCGAATGGGCACTAGCACCTTGGGCCCTGGCCTTTTAGTGCCCACTGAGGGCTGGAAACAGCTGGACAGGGCTCTGGCCACAACCCTGCAGCCTGGAAGCTAGAGGTGTCCTTAGAGAGTGCCCATAGCACCCTGTCCTCTCCACTGTAACCCAGGCAAGTCAGAGGGTCTCCTGAGCCCCTACCCCCACTCCTCCCATGATGGGGACTACGGCCAATTCCTCCCTTGATGTGAATCAAATAGGGCCATTGGCCAGGGCCTGTTCCCTCAGTCCTCCACATTGCCATGCCCCATGCCAGCCCTTGAGGGGCCAGGGACACCCAGCCGTCCCTTCATGCCTTTTGCTGCCCAAGCCACATGTTGATTCTCGATCCGCCTACGCCCCACAGCTGACACCAGCCACAGCTGCCATCCCTCCCCCTGCCCCTCCAGGAGGTTGCTTAGGGGAGCTGTGAACCAAGTGTGTGTCCCCCCAGGGGGCAGAGGAGGCTGACAGGGGAAGATCTGGGGAACCCTGGGTTCTGCTCCACAGGGCAGAGCCCCCACCAAGGCTGTCGGGGGAACTCCCTGACCCCCAAGAGCCCACGTGGGTGCCCGGCAAGAGGCAGGTCTGGCTGGGGGGCAGGAGGCCTGGCTCCACATGCTGTGTGACTTGGCCACTTATGCAACCTCCCTGAACCTTGGCTCTGTCCTGGCCCACAGCGGGTATTCAGCACCAAACAATGGAAACTGCACTGTGGGGAGGGGGCTGTCCATGGTGTGAGGGGCCTTCCCTCTTGGGTTTTGTAGTTAGAGAGGGACGGACAGCAAAGCTTCAAGGGGGTGCAGCATCAAGTCCACCATCCCCAGGGTGCCCCCAGTGCCTTTCACAACCCCTAGCTAGCTCCTGGGTGGGACTGTTCAGTTTATAACTGGGGTTAAGGTAGGATCCTCCCCAGGTGGGGAATCTAGGGGGGTAGATGGGAGGGGGGAGCCCAGGGCCTACCCTAGCTCCTCTCTCCAAATGCAAGTTCTGAAAACACAGGGGAAGACATGCCTCCTGCCTTCTCCAATGGGTACACAAGACATGGAAACCTCGCCCACAAAATGCTGGGCTAGGAAGCCAGTTTCAGTTAGCCCTGATGGTCTGGGAAAAAAAAAAGTCGCCCCCCTTGCGCTGGCTGCCAGGCCACTGCAGCCCTGCCCATGGTTCCCCCACACCCTGCCTGCTTGCAGACTCCAGCTCAGCCTCCCAGCCCTGACCGTCAAGGCCACCGACTCCAATGGTCATCCCCTGGGGTCTCTTGGCAAGTCTGGAAGCTTCGGCAGGACAAGTGACGGAGTTTTTTCTGCCAGTTACCTGGGGCCTGGTAGGACAGAGGGATTGGGGGGGGGGCCAGGCCCTCTGCCAGGGGAACACTTATATATCACCATATCTCATCTTCATGCCAAGCCAGGCCATCAGGGCTGGTTTTGGTTTTTATAGATCAACACACTGAAGTCAGAATGACTGAGTAACCTGCCAAAAGTCACATGGCATCTATGTGATGGAGGAGGGGCTGCCGAGAAGTTCCCGGATCCAGCACAGGTCCCAGGAGGCAAAAGGGGTGGGGGCAGGGGGGCTCGCTTGACTGCCCACACATCTCCAAATCATGCAGAGCCCCATCCAAGGTGGAACCCCAAGGACTCACCATAGCCACAGCCTCTGGGTGCAGGCCCCAGCCTGGATCTCCTCCCTGGCGGGACGCTTAGCATCCATTGGATCATGGGGTAGACCAGCCAGGGCCTGGGAAAGCACAGATCTGAGGCCTGGAGGACTGGAGGGTGTGTTGGGAGGTGGGAAGCAGGAGGCTTGGATCCTCCTCCCTAACCCTGTAGGGGTCCCTAGCAGCACACCACCCGCCACCTCAGGGCAGCCGGGGGCCACTCCTTAGAGAGCCTTGCCAGGTCTCCTCCAAGACCAGGTTAGACCCCAGGGCTCTCCGGCTGGCGCATGCCTGCACAGGTTGGTTTGCTCTGGGGAGTGGAGGAGAGCAAGAAGAGGGTCTTGGGAAGCCAATGGTGATGACCAGCTTCAGCCCGATTTGCCAGCAGTCCTTGGGGGGAGGGGGGGTGTCACTGTCAGGCCAGGAAAGTGGAGGACCTAGCCCACTCTCAGGGCTGGTGGTTGTTGGGAAGGAGGGATACTGTCCCCTTTGTCCCAAGATCTGGAGGGCGGTATGACCCCCATCCTGAACTGCCACCCAGCAGAGCACAGTAGTGGGGGGCTACCTGGGAGAAGGCTGCCTTCAGTCCCCAGCAAGGCCACCCTCCATCAGGGACTACACCCCACGGCTCAGAGCTGCTTGACTTCGGGGAGAACTGCCAATGAGCCCTGCTCCTTCCGCCCCACTCGTCTGCTGTCTCACACGCTCGGTTTTGATGGATGGATTCACCCTGTCCCTCACACAGCCACAGCTCAGCCACCTGACAGCAGCGGATGCTGACCCAGTCCAGGAGCGGAGGGAGGAGGATTCCAGAGTTCAGTCCAGCGAGCCGAGTGACCGCCGGGCCGCGCGGCGCCCTGCGTGCGGGACACCCCTCCGCGGCCGCCCCGATGGTCCGTGCGGGTCACTTCCTTCCTCGGCCCGCCCGCTGGCCCTCCAGCTTGCCCCGGGCGGCGCCGACAGCTGGGAAACGGGGGCCAGGCCGGATTTCCTTCGCGGACCAGCGGTCGGTGGAGCCACCCGGGCCAAGGGACCCTCGGGGGGCCTGGGGCGCTCGGCACCTGCGGTTGCCCGCGCCGCCCTCGCTGCCTCGGCGCGTGCTGGCGACTCGAGCTGCGCGCCGGCCTCCCGGCCCTGCCCGCGAGGGTGGAGACGCCTCGGTCCCCACCCCCACGCCGCCCCGACGCCGCGTCCCGGGAGGGCTGCAGGGCGCTAGGACCGCGCGGCGGCGCCGAGGGGGCGGGGGCGGGCCGGCGCTCGCGAGCTTTAAATGGGCGCCGGGCGGGCCCCCTCGCGGGTCGGCTCCCGTGGGGCAGCGGAGCGGCCGTGCGCCTCGTCGGGCCGGGACCCGGGGCCTGGCGCCGGGCGGGACCGGGGCGCCGGGCGGGACCGGGGCAGGTGTGCGCACGATGCGCCGGGGCGGCCAGCCAGCGGAGCGCCGGACGCGCTGAACCCAGGTAAGAACTGCCCGGGGTCCCCCGAGGAGCGCTGTCCCGCGTGGGTCGCAGCCGGGGACGGGGCTTGCTCCTCGGGGCGCACGCCGAGCGGAGCGGGGCAGGACCCTCCCTTGTCCTTTTCCACCGGAACGCCTGGAAGGTTGTTTCTCTCATCCCAAGCTGAGGTCGGTGGTATGCCCATTTGACAGCTGGGCAGACCGAGGCTGAAGGCTCCGGGGGGGCTGCCCTGGGAACACCCCGCTGGTCGAAAGCACACCCCGATTTGAATTGAGGTCTCCCGCAGCCTCTGCGCTCGAGGCCGGCTGGGCTCATTCGCATGGCTCCTGCGCATCTCTGCCATCTGTGCCGAGGTGGGGCGGTCCTACTGCGGGACCAGGGCTTGGGGCACCCCTTCCTTGAGGGTTCAGGAGTGGGAGGGACCCCGCCTTCCGCCACCCCAGAAGCCTGGAATTCCGCCGTGGCTGCCGCATTCCTCTGGGTTAAGGTCTAATTCCCCGTGGGGCGCACGTGTCTCTGGAGCAGGCTGGCCTCGCTGATTCACTGCCCAGAGCAGCAGGCCTCCTGGGACCCCCGCCCCACCCCTCCCGCGGGCCCGGAGAGCCTCAGCAGCGGGTACCTGTGTGTGTGTGTGCTTCTGTGTGTGCGTGTGCGTGTGTGTGTGTGTGTGTGGAGGGCCTTGGCCGGGTCAGATGAGGAACCAGGCAGAGGGACGGGATTCTGCCACAGGGCCTCTTCTTCGGGCTGCCTGCGTGGCTTAGGATAAGTCACCTCTTTCCAGCTCCTGTTCTCCTGCGCCATAGGGGTGCAGGGTTCTCCCGGGGGGACTGGAGAAAACAGCCTGGGGGGCCAGGGGTTGTGAAGACCTGGGCAAACCCAAGGCAGCTCCAGAACGCTTATGGAGCCTGCAGCCCTTAGAGGCAGCCCACCTTGCCCAGCCTCCCTCTCCTGGGTTGGGAGATGGGAGCAGTGGCTTCCCTGGTTGGGTGGCTTTGGATGGTAAAGGTCACATGCTGGGAAGAGTGTCTGACACCCTTATCTAGGGAGGTGGGCTCCGGTCCCACCCCTCAGCCTCTTTCTCCCGGATATCCTTTGCCACGGCTCTGAGTCAGTCCTCAGCTGTCCCTTTCCTTTCCTTTCTGGGTCTCCCTCCTCAACACACCTCACCCCGGGGTGCTCACCCCTTGTGGTCATCATCCACTCATCATTATCATCACCACCAGTACCTCCGTGGCCACTCTCCATCTGTCATCGCTGTGGCTGGGGTAGCCGGCAGGGCCTGAGTGGTGGGGTTTACCCATGAGCCTGGGCTCAAGTGACCCAGACCCCTCGGGGACCACTCATTGTGGGGGTCCCTGTGAGCTGCGAGAACAGGCCCACCTAGGGGTGGGGATGGACAGAGAGGGAGGAGGTGGTGGCCCCTGAGCGCTGAACCCCAGCCCTGCCCTATGCTCTGAGTGGGTTCTGCCTTGCTCTGCCTCCCAGACACTGCCACTGTAAGCAGCACCTGCCCAGTTGGCCCCGGTCCCCTTAGGATCAGAAATGAGTGATCAGGAACTGAAGGCTGCAAGGGGTGGAGGGAGAGCATTCCAGGTCCTGGGGAACAGCAGGGCAAGGTGCAGAGGCAGGAGCGGATCTGGCTGTGTCTGGGATTTGCTGGAAGGGAAACAGTGACAGAGAGATGACCCTCCCTGAAAATCTCCCGGCAGCGGAGGCGTGCCACTCTGGCTGCTTCCAATAAGGGGTTGGTGGACATAACCAGACTGCCAGGGCCTGGGAGGCAGCTGTGCTCAGTGATGGGGGAGGGAGCTGGGCAGACTTGGGGTCAGACCTGCTGATGGCAAAGAGGGATGTAGCACAGAGGGGAGGGAGGGTTGAGGACCTCTGTCACCATGTCACTGAGACTGTCAGTTCTTGGCTGGTCCTGGACTCTGGGTCTCAGAGGAGTGGGCGCTGGGAACACGTGGCAATGTACCCAACGGAAACTCAGAGGGCCCCAGGATGTGGCCCACACCTAGGGACCCAAAGAGGCTCCTCTAAGGAAGTGACTCCAAAGCAGAGGGAGACGATGGTGAGGGAGAGGAGGCTGGGGAGAACAGGCAGGCAGAGGAGCTTGCCGTGCAGCGTGCTGTGTAAGAGCAGCCCAGGGTCTCCGAGCACGCAGAGGGGTGTGGCCATGAGGGGCAGCTAAGGTTGCAGCTTAGGGTGGTGCTCGTGAGTTCAAGCAGGAGAGAACCCTGGAGCCACATTCACTTGGAGCCAAGTTCACCACTTAGTGGTTGATCACAGTCACATCCCTCCCAAACCCTCTCACAAAATCCCAATTCAGCATGTGTTTGTGGAGCACTTACTAGGTGAGGCTGATAATGTCGCTGCCAGAGGAGTCAGACTGGCTTGGCCTACTGCTGGTTATCTGTATGACCTTGGGCAGGTTGCTTTAAGTCCCCAAACTACCCAACCCTGAACCTCATTTTTCCCTTCTGTGAAATGGGAGTAGTGATAACAGAACTCAGTCATCCAGCCATTGTGAGTGAATGTCCAGTGTAGAGAGGAGCGCCCAGGGCATGGGGACTCCCAGGTGACTCTCGAGTAGCACACATCTCATTCGCACCTCAACTGAGCTTGCTGTGGGTGTTGCTGACCTCAGAGAAGGAAGCTGAGGCGCTGAGCGGTGCAGCGGTGGCTGGCGCACAGCCATGGGGCAGGTCCAGAGGAGGGGTCAGATGGAGCAGATCTGAGTCCAGTGCTCGTTCCAGGAGGGCTTCGGGAGTTCTTCTTTGGCAACCCTCCCCATACAGATTTTGGTCACTGCCGGGCGCGTGTGTGTGTGTGTGTGTGTGTGTGTGTGTTCATGCACATATGCCTCAGTCCCAGTACATAGCTGGAGATGAGGCTTTCCATACAGGACTGACTAAATGAGATGGATGGATTGGCTTGTGCACCCCTGGTGCTCAGCTAGGGTCCTCACTGAGGGAGTGAGCCCCCCCCCCAGCCCCTCAGCAGCACTGGGATCCACCCTGCAGGGGGAGGACTCTGTTATCCCCTCATTTCCCCCCACCCACTCTGGCTGCCTTGACAGGAAGGGCCAGCCCCTTAGACCCGAGTGTGGCCACCTCCCTGCCCTGCTGCACAGCCCATGGCTTCAGTGAAAGTGCAGGGCCCCGTGCGCTGCTGGGGAAACCAGCAGTAGTGCTGCTGGGGCAGGGCTGTCCTCCTGGCAGACTTCCTGCCCAGGGAACAATGGCAAGGGCTGGAGACTTGGAGAATCAAAAGAAACGGGCAGAATAACATGGGGAGGGAGGGGCCAGGGCCCAGAGGGACAGAGCTGCACGTGGGGCCTGAGGGGCTGGCACGGGAGACCTGCTTGTGACCCTGGGGTGAAAGCTGAATCAGAGCCTGTCTCCCTGCCTCCTGTATGGCCCGGGGCAGCCCACAGGGTCTCTGTGTCTCCTGTGCACCCTCTCCTCACTCTTGAAAACCCACATGTGACCAAGCCACACCCTGCTCCAGAACTCACTTCTCCTAGGTATGGCCCAAATCCCCGGGACCCGAGGTCAGAATCACTGTGAGCAGCCACTGTGGTCCCTGCTTCACTCCCAGCTGGGACCCAGGGTCCGAGGCCAGCTGCAGGCAGGGTGGGACAGTGCGGGTAACTGTGGCAAGGAGCTAAAAGACTAACCGAGCCCCTTTTCCTCCCTGTCCCCCACACAGAGCCATGAGCCCCCAGATCCTGCTGCTGCTGACCGTGCTCACCCCAGGCCTGGCCACCTCCCAGCAGCGACTCAAGATGCCCTGTAAGATGGTAAGCTCTGCCCCAGCAGGGAAAAGGCCACCTGAGGTCCCTGTCACCCTGGGTCCCCCGACCCCAGCCCCAGAGGCCGGAGCTTAGATGCATTGCAAGAGGAGAGCGAGTGTAGCCTGGCTGCATTTAGCAAGCACCTGCTAGAATGCTGCAGGTGTTTGTGCCCACCAGTGCTGCCAGGTTAACACCATGGTCCCCAAACTCTGAAGGAGGAAGCTGAACCTCAGGTTAGATGCCTCCAAGGTCACTCAGCTGGGCACAGTAGGGTCCCTAAGCTTTCTCTGCAGGGCGGTTGGTCTAGCTGGGAGAATGAAGGGCAAACCAGCTGGGAGGGGCTGCTCCGGACTGATCCCTCCTGGGGAAAAATCCTGTTCCTTAGCTGAGTAACTTGACTTGGGCCTGCCTGCTCGGATGCTGCTCACCTGTGACCGCTTAGGTTAAATGTTGCTTCCTCCAGGAAGCCCCCCTGGCCCTTCTCAGGGAATGTTTTCTCCCCTGTGCTTCTGCAGTCCCCCAGCTGCCCTCCTCACCCACTCCAAGCACATACCTGAGCTGCTGGGGATGGTTGATGGTACCTGAGGACCAGATGTGAGTCACATTTGCTTGTTCCTGCCCCAAGCCAAGAAGAATCCCAAAGTTGCCGTGAGCCTGGAATGGCAGGGGAGGAGGAGCACATCCAGGTCCACGGGCAAGGCTGGCAGTTGGGGAAGTCAAGGCGGGCATGGATGGGCGGAGAGCACAGGCCCTGCAGCAGCGCTCACTGGACACAGGACGGTGGTGAGGCTTGCGTGTACCCACTCACGGCATCACCCTTGCTGCTCCTCAGAGGCCCTCAGGGAGTCTCAGATACCAGATGCCAGCAAACACAGACTCATCCTCTGCCTTGGGGAGGCCCTGCTCAGAGAGGTGCTGGCAGAGGGCCGGTGGGCTGAGCTGTGGCATCTGGGATTGTAAGACAGCAGAAAACACACAGAAGGGTCTGAGCAGAGTTCCCAGGGAGGAGGGGACAGAGTCAAGATTTGAACCTGGCCAGCCGTTGTGCTGCCCACGGCTTGGCGCCTCCTTTCCAGCCTGTCTCCCAGATGCAGGTGACATGGGTGACATGTCCTGCCCCCTGCTGAGAAGGAAGCAGCTAGAATGCTGACGTGTCCTGGCAGCCCAAAGAACCAGCCAGTGCCCTGGGCTCTGCTGTGGACAGTTCCCCTGGCTGCCTTCCCACCAAACCAGCTGAGGCTGGGAGCTGAGGGCGGGGCGGGGCTCTGGCCTTCAGGTTCCATCCCAGCAGGCCTGAGGGACCAGCAAGTCTCTGGCCCTGGAAGGAAGTAGTCGTGGGTCCTTCAGTGCTTCCGTCCTTCTGGCTCCAGTGCTCAGGAGCTGGGGCCCTGGAGATACTGGGTGTGTAGGTAACCTCCCTGGCTGCTCTATGGGCAGTGCCTGGGGGAGTTTGCAGGTGCTGACCAGCTGGGAGGCCCTGGCGGTGAAACCCACTTCACCTGCCCCTTGGGGAAAGGAAATTGCCTGCACGAGTTCCAAGGTCAGGCTTTGGCAGCCTCAGCCTCCACTGAAGCCTTAGAGCAGTGACGTGGAGTTGAGGTCAGCCTGGCACAGAACTGGTGTCTGGCAACAGGGGTGGTCACTGCATCTCTGGTACAGACTCTTCTCTAAGTCAGGGTGTCCCTGGGGGCTGAGGGTGGTGACGAGGAATCTCTGCCTGATGGTCCCAGTGAGGGGTTGGAGAGAAGGAGCGTGGATGGACAAGGTGGCTGGGCTGGGAGTCCAACTGCAGGGGTCTCCCTGAGTCTCTGTGAAGTCACCCCTCCTGGAGAGAGCAGGCCCCATCCACATGCTGGATGGCGCCACACACAGATGCCCGGGGGTAGGCAGCAGCATCCTTTGCCTGTATCCTGTGGGCCAAGTCCAAGGCAGCCACATCAGCCAAGCCAGTTCTGTTCAAGGTGATCTCACCATCTAGCAGGTTCCCTACCACTACCGCAGTCACAGGGCAGGAAGATAAAGCTGTGAGAGGAGAAGCAGTCAGGAAGGGCTCCCTGGTGGAGAAGACTCTGCAGCTCAGCTTGATGAGTGTATGACTCAGGTCTGGTGGTTGTGGCCTAACCAGCATAGGAAAGAGGCCCAGAGGTGGCAGTGGGAGGATGTGATGGGCAGTGGTCAAATGGGGGCAGGTGGATGGGGGAGGATGAGTGGGGAGGGTACAGGTCCATAAGGACCACAGATAGCCTTCAATGCCCGTTGAGGGTCTTGGATGTTGCCCTGGAGGGTTTCAGGAGCACAGCAGGCTCAGAGTGGAACTTCAGCTGTTTGTACACATTTAACAGGTAGAGGGTGAGCGGGGTGTGGAGACGGAGCAGGAGCAGGCGAGACAGGCTGCAGCAGGCTGACCCTCTCTGCTGGGCCCCGGGGAGCTGGAAGAAAGCCCTACCTTTGCACAAAGCATCTAGTCCCAGGAAGATGAGAGGGTTTTGGTTGTTACCTGGGGATGAGTATCTGTCAGCTCTCACGGGCTGGGGTCTCTGGGGTCCTCTCTGAGCGATCGGATCAGATGGGTCGGCTGTCTGGCTGTGGCAGTAGAAGGAAGATATGGGAGTGGGAGCTGGGGCAGGTGGAACCGTTCGCTTACTGTGGCACCAAAGTGGCAATGTGACGCCATGAAGATCACAGGCAAATTCACAATCATGTACCAAAGAATGTGGGTTGGCCCCCTGGTCATCTTTCCCTGTTCCCTGCCCATCCTTCCACCTCCAGGGGCCGCCTCTGCAGAGCTGGTTCCAGGCCTCTACTCCACAGGCTGGTAACTCGCTGTGGGATCCCAAGGAAGGAGACCGAGAGAACTGATGACCAGAGTGCAGATTTAATTACTCCTCTGGAAATGACTTCCAGCACCATTGCCAACCTCATGTCAGCCATGGGACCATGAGGACCCACAGAAGGGACCCAGATGTGCCACTAAGAACCCGGGATCCCTGCGTGCTGTCACTACTTTCTGTGTCACTCTGGGTGATGCGTGGCTGTGTCCTGTAACCTGGGCTTGTCATTGGGGGTTTTTCTCTGTCACTTTGGCCTTACCTCTGTCCATCATCTCTGCATCCATCCACTCATCAGACCCTTCCTGAGGCTCACCCTGTGCCCAGCACGGTGCCAGGGGCCAGAGCCAGAAGCAGGGACTGGGTCGTGGTAAAGGAGAGTCCAGCAGGTAGCCAGCATTGCACAGGAGCGGCATAATCACCCCTGGAGACACAGGTCCCGCTGCGCCCATTAACATCAGCTGCCCTCCCTCCGCAGGTGGCCAATGAGGCCTTGTGCCAGAACCTGGGTCTGCTGCAGGTGCCTGCCCTGGTGAAGTCCGACATCCAGGCCCTCGACCTGTCTGCAAACCAGCTGCAGAGTGTCCTGGTCGCGCCCCTGGGCCTCTACAAGGAACTCCGCCGTCTGGACCTGAGCGCCAACGAGATCAGCTTCCTGCAGCCAGGCGTCTTCCAGGCCCTTCCCCAGCTGGAGCACCTCAACCTGGCTCACAACCGCCTGGCGGCAGGTACCACACTCAACACCACCGGGAGCCTGAGTCCCCTGCCGCTCGTGACCTCCCTCGACCTGTCTGGGAACAGCTTGTACAGCGACCTGCTGGAGCAGCTGCTGGGTGAGGCGCCGCGCCTGCGTAGCCTCTCGCTAGCCGAGAACAGCCTCACGCACCTGGGCCGCCACACCTTCCGAGGGCTGCCGGCACTGGAGCACCTGGACCTGCACAGCAACGTGCTGATGGACATCGAGGATGGTGCCTTCGAGGCCCTGCCCCGCCTGACCCACCTCAACCTCTCCAGGAATTCCCTCACCTGCATCTCCGACTTCAGCCTGCAGCAGCTGCGGGTGCTGGACCTGAGCTGTAACAGCATCGAGGTCTTCCAGACAGCGGCCACTCAGCCCCCGGCCGAGTACCAGCTCGCCTGGCTGGACCTGCGCGAAAACAGGCTGCTCCAGCTCCCTGACCTGGCCGCGCTCCCCAGACTCATCTACCTGAACATGTCCAACAACCTCATCCGGTTCCCGGCAAGCTCGCCCCAAGGTGGTGAGGACGGTGACGGCCCAGGCCCTGTAACAGTACCTTCCCGGCCCCTGGAAGCTCCCAGCAGCAGTGGCAGCTGGAACACTAGCAGCCAGCCCCTCTCCCAGCTCCTGAATTTGGATCTGAGCTACAATGAGATCGAGCTGGTGCCCCTCTCCTTCCTGGAGCACCTGACTTCCCTACGCTTCCTTAACCTCAGCCGCAACTGCCTGCAGGCTTTCGAGGCACAGCACACGGGTGCCCTGCCCTGCCTGGTGCTCCTGGACCTCAGTCACAACGCACTGCAGGCACTGCACCTGGGCACCAAGGCCTTGGGCTCCCTGCGGACGCTGCTGCTGCAGGATAATGCCCTGCGGGACCTGTCCCCACACACCTTTGCTGGCTTGGCCAGCTTGCAGAGGCTCAACCTGCAAGGTAACCGGGTCAGCCCTTGCGGGGGAACAGGGGAGCCCACACCCCCGGGCTGCGTAGGCTTCTCTGGCCTCTCCTCCCTACGCGTGCTGAACCTGGTGGATAACGGAATGGAGGTGCTCAGGGCGGGGGCCTTCCTGCGCACTCCGCTCAAGGAGCTGGACCTGTCTGGCAACCCTGGGCTGGAGGTGGCCACGGGGGCCCTGGCGGGCCTCGAGGCTTCCTTGGAGGTCCTGGCACTTCAGGGCAATGAGCTGGCCGTCCTACAGGTGGACCTGCCCTGCTTCAGCTGCCTCAAGCGGCTGAATCTGGCCGGGAACCGTCTCAGCCACCTGCCTGCCTGGACACAAGCCGTTTCGCTGGAGGTGCTGGACCTGAGGAATAACAGCTTCAGCCTCCTGCCAGGCAGTGCCATGGGTGGCCTGGAGACCAGCCTGCGGCGCCTCTACCTGCAGGGCAACCCACTCAGCTGCTGTGGCAATGGCTGGCTGGCTGCACAGCTACACCGAGGGCGCGTGGACGTTGACGCCACACGGGGCCTCACCTGCCGCTTTGGCTCCCAGGAGGAAGTGTCCCTGAGCCACGTGCGTCCCGAGGACTGCGAGAAAGGAGGGCTCAAGAATGTCAACCTCATCCTCCTCCTCACCTTCACACTGGTTTCCGCCGTCCTGCTCACCACGCTGGCCACCTGCTGCTGCATGCGTAGGCAGAAGTTTCACCAACAATACAAAGCCTAGGGAAGCCTGAGAACCTTCCAGACCAATGGGTAGGGGAGCCCAGGGGCCCAGGGGGTGACTGACTTCAGGTCCCAAAGGGAGGCTGACGTGCAAGGACCCTGACATCTGACCCCCACCCCGAGCTCCTTTCCATAGGACCCATTGTGTCAGCCCATGATCCACATAGGATTCAGCATGGCACGCCAGAAGATGGGTGGTCAGGGGTGACAGAATAAAGCTGACCCCTCAGATCTACACATCTTCAGCGAACACCCGTGTCCTCCCACACTCTGCTCCAGGCACTGAGGACATCAGGAAAACATGTCTGTGTCCTCCAGGCTCCTCTGGGAGGGGGACACTGCCGTGCGACCACGGCTCTGCTGCATTCCCCCACTGCCACCATGCCCTGCCACCCCAGGCTGGTGCTGTGCCCAGACAAGGGAGCCAGGAGGGTATGCATGACATGTTTCCTGGCAGACTGTTTGTCACATCTGCTGATAATGACTGTTAGCCTCTGGCAAATGCAGAACTGGAGCCTGGGAGTTGGTCCTGGATCCAGGGCTGGGAGGCCAGGAGCTGTGGTAGCTCCCACAGGATCTGCTTAACAGCTGGCAGCCCCCTGGGCTTGGCCAAGCCCCCTGGTCATTCTCTTCCTGCTGTCACCCCCACCCCATACACTCTCCAGGTGCACACCCCATCCCCAAGGCCCGTGGGTTCCCTTGCTGCATCCTGGCCCTGCTCTGGCTGCTGGCTGCCACTGTTTCATGCCCACCTTGGAAGCCTGGGTGCAGGGCCCAGCCTTGGGCCTGCCAGCCTCAGGGACAGAGGTGTTTATCCTCATCTCATGGAAGAGGAAACTCGGGCTCCCAAGATCCCCCCACTGTATTCCCCCAGCTGAGCCCCGGGGAGCTGAGCCTCGGGTCCCTCTTTCTGTCCCTGCAACCCATACTAGGTTGCTGCAAGGGCCGGAGGCTGCTGAGGGCACAGAAAGTGGCCCATGGTACCCCGACAGGGCCCAAGCACCTGTGCTGTCCATGCCCTGTCTTCCTTCACTGCCTCAGTTTCCCCTCTCCCTCCCTTGCAGGCTGGTGTGGGTTCTTCTTCCTCTTCTTGCCCTGGCCTAACATCCTTTCCTGTCCCTCCACTGAGCTTCATGCGGGGATTGGTACTCATCAGTCCGAATTCCCCACTGCACAGAACGGAAAACTGAGGCTTCACAAGGGTGGGAGTGGTTCTGTTGCTAACCCTGCAGGGTTTATTTTTCCCTCTAGACAAAGCCCATGCAGATAATCCCAGGCCTCCCTGCTGGGGAATCAGGGGCCATCTGTGAAGAAGGGGAGCACTAGGCCCAGCCATCCCATGTGGTGTCCATCCTCTTCCTCAAGCCCCTGCCTGGCCCAAGCTGGGACCCTGACAGGTGCTCAGTGATGGGTGAGGAAATAAAAATGCCACCTCTGCGCCCCATTGTACAGATGGGAGAACTGAGGTCTCTGCCATGGGTAGAGCCTGATGTCCTGCCCCAGCCTGGGTCCTGATGAGGAGACCACAGTCATGGGCACTATTGCACACAACACTATGTCAGGTTCAGAGAGAAGGCGCCTGTATCTGACCTTGAAAACACTACATGGTGCTGCTGTCTGTCTCCCCCCGGGGGCCGGGCCACAACCCCGCCTGTGGGACCCGCTCTTTGTGTCATGAGTCTGAATGTATTAAAAAGTGATTTTTGGAGAACCTGTGGTCTGCCAACCCCTCCCCCGTGCATGGAAACCCTGCCTGTCTCGACTTCCCTTATCTCTCAGATCCCATGGCCTGGACCTTGGGGACCTCCACCACCATCACTGGCCTGCCACCCTGCTGCCCTCACACTGACCCACCCTTTCCTAGCCCCCTATTCTGGGAAAGCCATGGCTCCCACGTGTCCCCATCTGCTGCTGCCACCCTTCCCTTCAGGCCATGACTGGCCCCTCTCCTCCATTCTCAGAGGCACACTGTACCCTCCTGGGGTCCTCTGCCTCTCCCTGCCCTCATACAGTCACATCTTCCTCCCAGACTCTAGCAGGCCTCAAGTCCTGCCCACTTACCAAAAGCCTGGCATGATCCCGAAGCCACATGCCCTTTGCTCTGTAGTTCCCTGCAGTTTCCAGGCAGCTTCCCTCAGCAGTGTCCCCAAGTGCCCAGGCCCCTTATCCTCCATGACCCCATGCACACACACAGTCCCCTTTCCTACAGGCTACCATTTCCAGCTATGTGTGCTGTCTTCGTTCTGTCCCACAGAGGATGATAGCAGAGGCCTGAACCCTGGGAAGCAAGCAGGCCTGCCAGGGTCTCGCCGTGTGGCCAGCCCATCACTCTCCTCCTGAGTGCCCAAGCCCAAGGTTGCGGGCCTGCTGTGAAGGGAGCAGGCAGTGGAGTTGCAGAGCCTGGCTAAGTGTGCAACAAGAGCCTGGTACCTGCTCAGGCCCAGACCTGCTTCCCTGACCTTGACCTCCCCAATTACAGCTCCTATTCACAGCCTGTGCCTCATGCTCTTGTGACACGGGGTCAGCGTGGGCAGTTGCACAGACTGACTCCCGCAGGCCCCAAATCTCTGGACTATCCCGGAGCCCACTTGGACCCTGGCCTCTTTTCCTGGCAAACAGGGGAGTTTGCTCACCTAGCCAAGACCCCCAGCCAGGCAGAAATTCCTGTTTTCAGGCAAACAAGGACACAGCTGCCAACTAGGTCATGGGAGCATCCAGCTGCCTGAGCTCACAGCAAGCTCCAGAGGAGTGGGGAGGCCACTGTGGGCTTCAGTCACCAATGGTGAGGGGGCAACTGGGCATGCTGGGCAATAGGCCCATGGCTGCAACATCTGCTCTCTCTGTGCCAGTCTTGAGCAGCTCATGCTGCCTGAGCTCCATCCTTGTTGCCTTTCTGTATGCTCTGAGTTGATCTTGACCCAGCCCTTAGGGTGCGCGGTTATGTAAAGACTTTCCTTGTCTCAGTCCTCAGTTCAGAGAAATGGACTTTGAAGCTGATGCACTTTTTTTTTTTTTTTTTTTTAATTTGAGAGACAAAGTTAGAGAAAAAAGAGGTTCTCCAACTGCTGGTTTACTCCCCAGGTGTCTCAATAATCAGAGTTAGGCTGATCTGAAGCTGGGTGCCAGGAACTTCTGGGTCTCCCATATGGGTGCAGGAACCCAAGCACTTAGACCATCCTCTGCTGCTTTCTCCAGGCCATAAGCAGGGAGCTGGATCAGAAGTGGAGCAGCTGGGACTCGAACCAGTGCTCATGTGAGATGCCAGCACTTTAGGCCATGGTTTTGCCATAGTATTGGTCCCCAGAGCTGAGACTTGAACCCAGGTCTGTCCCTCTGGAGCCAGCACTGCCTCCCAACGTCTCTCTACATGCTGACCTGAAGTGTCTCACCTCCTTGGACTGCCTGCAAACCCCACTCCTCCAGCCTCTTCCCACAGCGCCTCCTAGGGAAGGGTAAGGGAGAGAGCCTTCTGGATTTCCCTCCAGCTGCTCACAGTGGTCAGTGCCCCCCTTGGCCACAGCTCTGGAGGGGTTGCCTGATCTGGTACCAGGCCAAGAGCTCTTAGATGGGGAGGAGATGGTGCGGGGCAGAGGGCAGTGAACAGGTGTGAGAGTGGGGGTTGTCCTACTCAGAGCCTGTGTGTCCCCAGGGCCTGTAGCCAACTCAGGTGGCCACAGATCATGCCAGAAAACAGGGTACTGTGGCTTCCCGGACAGACTCAGGGGATACAGAGCTCCAGGGCCGTGAGGGGAAGCAGTAACCACAGGGGTGACAAAGAACCCAGTCTGACCACCCTCCCCTCCCCGCAAGTCACCCTGGGCCAGTAGGACCACAGCTCATCTTCCTCCTACCCCATCCTTCTCTCCTTCCTTGGTTTGGTCCTCTCCCCACCTTTTACTCCATTCCCTATCACTGGAAACAGAGTTAAGGAGGAGGGCTGGAGGGGCAGGGCCTGAGCTGTTTATAGAAACTGCTGCAGCTCCATCCATCAGCTCTGTTTGGAGCTGGAAACCAAGCATAATAAATACCTTGGCTGCACCCCAGCTGTGCTTTCCCTGAACTTGGCCATCTGAACTCCAAGTCTCTCTGGCCAGCTGGTTCTCAGGACCCAGCTCCAAACCACCCCACCCCCACCTCCCACCACGATGCCTGGAGGGAGCTGCCTCAGGGACCAGAAGCTAGGGGCTGGATCACCACTCTGTGGCTCCTTCTCCAGGCCACCATCTCCCCACCCATCAAATGGGGCCATGGTTGCTCTAGACACACTTCCCTCACCTGAGTCAGAGGGCTGGGGGCTTGGACTCCAAGCCCTGAGCCTTATACAGTGCATTGGAGCCCCTGCATGGTGCCCCTGCCTGGGAGCAAGGAGGGAGGCGGTGGCACGAGCAGGAAATGGTCAGTATCAGGAGGGAGGTGCAAAAGCAGAGAGCAACCATCCTGGCCAGAGGAGTGAGGGGACACTGTGGGGACGCTGGATCTGACCAACCTGGAAGGGACCCCCTTGCAAGCAGAGCAAATCTGGCAGCAGGAAGAAGATGTCAGGGTGCCTGGGATAGACACGGCTGCCAGCCACCCACCGTAGCCACCTTCCATTCAGAACTTGCAGCCCTCCGGAATCTTCCCTCCTCCTCCCAGGAACATTCCCAAGCTGTGGATGCATTCCCAGAATCCTGCCTCACCCCCAACATCCCCACGATCACCACCAAGAAAAGCCACCCTAGAAAGTGGAGCACTCAGACCAGGACTCGCTGGTGCCAATAGCACATGTTTCTGGAGTGAATAAGGGAACAAATGGAGAAATGAATGAAAGAGTGAGTCAATGAGAAAATCAGTGAGTCAGTTATTCAGCGGAGTCCTCTGCCCCAGGGCAGTCCTTCTGGCCCACCCCCAAGCATGCCTTTGGGGCACTAACATCTTATTAAGGGAACAGACCTGAAACACAAACACAGTGCAGTGGTGAGTTGGGATGCCAGTAGTGTAAGGAAGGAACAGAAAGAAAAATCCAGAAATGCATGAATGAACACTCTCACTAGCCTCTCCTCCCACACTCCTGTGCATGAAAGCAGCCCCTGGGGGGAGTGCCTGAGGCCCTGGAGAAAGATGGTGAGGTACAGGGTGGAGGAGGACAAGGGCAAGCTGGAGAGGGATCCCAGGAGGCGCCCTGGGGGTGCCAGGTAAGAGTCCAATTCCCAAGGCCCCTGCTGGGTAGTGATTTGGGGTGGTTCTCATAATTGTCCCTTCTTACCCTCAGGTCCTCACATTGCCCTGGCTGCCTTTTACCTTCTTATCAGCTATCTCCAAGCTGCAGTGTCGGACAGGACAGGACAGCTCGTCTAGGGTTAAGATGCCCTCTTCCCATGTTACAGTACCTCGATTGCGGACCTGGCTGTAGCTTCCAGCTGAAGGTTCCGGCTCACACAAGCCAAGAGACTGTGGGTGATGACGCAAGTGGTTTGGCCTTGATGGAGGTCCCAGATCCAGGATGGGCCTGGCCTAGTCTTGACCTCTGTGGGCCTTTTGGCAGAGTAAACCAGCAGATGGAAGATATCTGTCTGTCCCTCTCTTCCTCTGCCTCCCAAATAATAAACATTGCAAATAAAAGGTAGCTGGCCACTGTATACAAATGCATACATGTTTGCGCTAGCAACCCTTTTCTATAGTGCAGTTGGCTTTAATGCTGCAGAGAAATCTCCCCAGTGACTCATCTGACAGCAGATAGCCTCCCTGCAGTTACTGGGGCTTGACGAAGCTCACTTTGGTACCTTTTCTTGCAGCTGTGCGTATGCTACACTAAAGTCCTCTGTCATGCACCTGTTCTTGCCAGAGCGGGGCAAACACCTAAAAATGAGCTTTCCGATCTAGCCAGCTCTGCTGCTTTATTTAAGGCCTCTTGACATGTGTAGTTTTAATAAGGTCTACTTTCTGCATCTCCCGTGTGCACAAGCGCCCTCCCCTGCTCTCCCCAGGGGCTTTGCTCCTGCTAGGGAGAGACCCCTTGCTGCTGTTGAGTGCCACACCTGCCTTCTGCTGGCCCGGAGCAGCCTCAGATTTGTTTCTTAGCCATCTGGACGAGTCTGTCCACGAGTTGCTCACTTTTGTCCTTTGCCCATTTTTCTATGGACTTGGCGATTCCTGGTCAGTTTACAAAAATTTGTGTACAGCTAATATTGTACTTTGCAGCACATTTGCATAGCCAGTGCTTTACTCCCTTCTGCGTGTGGAGGTGTCTGTTAGCCTGCCATGTCCTGGGGACCTCCATTTGCTTTTGTGGTTCATATGGGCTCCTAAATTCTCTTATAATTTTTGTTAGAGTTTTTACATTTTAAAAAATATTTATTTTAATTTTTATTGGAGAGGCAGTTACACAGAGGAGAGACAGAGTGATCTCCCATCCTCTGGTTCACTCCACAGATGGTCTCAACAGTCGGAGCTGAGCTGATCCAAAGCCAGGAGCCAGGAGCTTCTTCCTGGCCTCCCATGTGGGTACAGGGTCCCAAGGCCTTGAGCATTCTTTACTGCCTTCTCCAAAGCTTTAACAGGGAG